GCTCTCTGCAGGTTAAAGGATCTTCTCTCTTTGCAGGGTTAAGGCACAATCTGAGAGAGCAAAGAAGCCACTTGTCTCCTCAGTCAGAGCACCATGGACATTAAAAAGATTGTTAATAGCTGCTTTCTTTTTCCTTTTTCTTCTCTATGGGACATTACCAGATACAGAGATCTGAAGTTTTGTGTTGGGTTTTGTTTTGGTCAGGTCTAGGGGGTAAATACTTTTCAATGTTAAATATACACATACAAAACACTTGGAAAGAAAATTTTTGAAGACTGGCTAAAAAGTCTTTATTTTAATACTAGCCAAATTGATTTTTACCTTTTTTGCTTTTATATATTCTCTATATTCTTTACACATATATTTGTAGCTCTGTAGCCTATTACTGTATTTGTATCTGGCTTCAGTAGTTTTCTCTAACTCTTCTCTACCCTGACAAGCAGAAAGACAAAACACATTTCAGCAGCTCCAAACCCCATGGGTCCAAGGCCTCTATCCTATCTTGGCTTTCTGGGAGCCAAGGTTGAAACCAGCTCTTTCAGACACATTGTCATAAAAAAAAAGTTCAGTTCCTGTCTAAAAAGGGGCTACAGAAATTGTGGAACCAAAAGGGGGGAACTGCTTCATCACTTATGCTTCTAATTGGAGATTCTTGTCAATTATACTAATTTGCTAAATTTATAGAACTGTATTCACCTTATGTGGGGTGGGCACTTTTCCATATCTGTCCCTTGGAGGCCACCAGTAAATTATATTACCTCCTATACTAATATTGTCTTGAAAGTATGTTGCTTTATTTCCAGATCTTTAAGGCATCAAGTTAATACTTCACACACATGAAAAGGATTTTGTTTTGGACTAGTATAAAAAGTATTAAAGCATTAAAAATTATGTGATTTTGGAAAGGAAGGATATATCTAATGCTGCTGATCACCAGCTTTTCACCACCCTTTGAATGGGACTGAACATAACTGGCTATCAAAAACCCTACACTGGTTGTAAAGTCAATTTGAAATAGGTAAGTTCAAAATTTCATAGTCCCAGGAAGAACCAGCCACAACTTCCCAACGCTCTGATCACCAGACTGTACATCAAAGCATATGGTGTAATGAACTTCAGCCAAAAGCAGTGAAAATAAAGCTGACTGGGAGATAAAGTTACCTGAGTGTGTTCAGGCTACTCAGTATTTTGCTTCCCCAGTGCACTGTTGTGGGGACCCACCTAGTGAAACCAGGAAGAATTGCACCAGTCCAGAACATGAAAGAAAGGGACTGTTGAGCCAAGGAGACAAATAACTGAACAATATAATTTAGTATATTGAAAGTGGTGAAACATGTGGCAAGACGAGAGAGACCACAAATTCCAGCCAACCTACAGTCACCATCTGGTATTGCTTTGTAACTCTCAGATAACTTGGTTTCAAAATCTGTTGCAGCAGAAGCTTGCATTTAGGAGAATGGATAATATCTTTTGGTTTAACTCAAACTGGTGCACTGCCAGACAACATATTTGGGACTCATGCTCAGCATTACCAGCCTGAGCGCCAACAAAATCTGGAGTTGGTCTTTGTAAAATCAGAAGAATGGCTTTGTTAAAAAATACTAGAAGCTATTTCCCTTTGTCTTTTCACTTATTTTTTTATTTTTAATTTGACTCTGTTGGATGAGCCATCATTTTATGTATTTGTCAAATCTTTAAGGCTTTATTCCTGTGATCACAAGAACTGGAGGCTTTCATTACAATGAAAGCTGAAATTTTTATCTTCTTTCTTTTTGGCAACAAAAAGAAACAAAGGCTGTAAGAACACACCAGGATAGTTTGATTTACAACAGATTTTTAAGCAATGAAATGCTGAAATTAAATTTTGTTACAGCCAGTATCGATCTGTTCAAAGGGATTTTGCCCTCATTTCCTCATTTCCAAGTCCTCACTTATTTGATCCACAAAAGAACGAAAATTTTCATTAGTAAAAAATCTCCAGAATATGCAGGCATTAAAATCAGATACCTGTCTCAACACCTGGTATTTTCTCTTGATGATACAAAATTATATACTTTTTTTTTCCATCACAATGGGCGTACAAAAAGGATTGAGATTTGGATTAATTTACTTATGAAAACAGTTTATAATACTCTTTTTCTTCTTGAATGAAGCAACAAACACATTTTGTTTTGTCATCCTCCAAAAGAGAATTTCAAATACTAAATATCCAGTTATAAACAGGTAATTTATAGCACAGGAACTCACCCCCCAAACTCTTAGAATCACTTACTTTTGATTCTGCTCTTGTCTACACATATTTAGGTCCTTATGGTTTACGTGACTTTATTTCTTGAAAATTCCTGGATAATCAACACCACAGAACAACTTCTTAGCATCTAGAACTGCCACTTAAGTTTGTAGAAGAGCCATCCATCCCAATTTAGAGGCAACAGAATTCTAATTTATCTTACCCCAATCACAGATTACTTCTCTCTTCCTTGACAAGACTATTCCAAGAAAATCCTGACTCTTCTAAGTCCTCCTCATGCCAATCAGCCTAATCTCAGAATTTGGAATATTTCCACTTCTTTCTCTTATCCTATTTGAGATACTACTGCTACTTACTAGCATTTCTCTAACAAATGATACTTTACTTAAAATTCTACCTGAAATCCGTGGCTGCTGTAAGAGCATATCCCACTAGTCACTGCAGCACTACCTGGAACACAGGGACTCTGCTCATGGTTCTTGATTACACACAAACATCAAGGCACACAGGCCATAATCAATTTCTACTTGCCTTTCTACTGCTGTCCCTGAAAGCAAGGGGAGCAGGCATTACTGTCAGAGCACTGGTTCTGGAGCAGTGATTTTTGACCTCAGTAATAGGAACAGAAATCCTTGCACTCTAAAGCCCTCCTTTGGGGCTCAGTACCTTCTATTCCTCCCTTTCCCTCTGCTGAAATAGTTCCTTTTCTCCTGTCCCCTCCCTGCTTCTTCCTCTTAGCAGCCCCAAAAGAATTTGCTGTAAGAAGACAGAGTATATTGTGATTTGTGGTGAGAGGAATTCAGACACATGGCTGCACAGGCAAGTTTGGGGATCCCCATAATCCTCACAATGCTATCTATTAGAGATATATTAGGGTGAGGAACAGAACTCCTTTCTCTGGGGCTCTCCAAAGCCTCTCCAACCTCCCTTCCCCCTATAGCATCCATAAAATGCTGCTGACCCTTTCCCCAGCTGGATCCCTGTCACCATACAGGACCCCTACTACTGAAAATGCTACCTAAATCTGAGTATCTTACAGATAATTCTTCTGATTGTAAATGGCAGTTAGATGCTAAATGGCATTGCCACCAGTCCCTCTTCTTCAGCTTTGTGTCCTTATGTAGCTTCCTGTACTTTTTACACTTTCTTATCCCCTGTCAATACTTCAGGTGTTCTGTCCTGGTGTTTTCTCCTGCTCTGACCATGTACAATATCTCAGCAGAAATACACCAGGGGGCATCTCACAGCTCACACAGAATTCCCTTGCTATTAACATGCTATTCCCCTAGAACAGCACAATGTCTATTCAGGGTAGATTTCTGTGGTATTTATCTTTCAATTTCACCATTTTCCTCAGGCAGTTCACTTCTTTCAGAGCTTGACATTTTCAGATAGTGAAATAATGGTTTCCTCCAGTCATTCATTTAATTTAATAGGCCCCTGAATTGCCTTGAGCATTTTAATCATACCGATCTTTTCATGCTAAAATAAGGAGTAAATTTACATTAACTGCACAGCCCTTGGGTACTGTATAGACCAATCAGAAGACTTATTTTTGTTTTCATTTATTGAAATAAAGTTTATGACACTTCTAAAACTTGCATTTTAGAAATACTGGTTTTTACAGCCTACTTTAACATATTTCTCTGGTAAGCCACAAGTTAATGGAGCAACAAAGAGTACGTTGCTGATGGGGATTTTTTCTTTTTCTTGTTTTTCTTTCAATTTGCCTGGGAATTCTGAGACAGGTCAGGCATCCCTGCTTGTAGTGATATTTAACTGCCCAACAAGAAACTGTTTAGCTGCAAGTGGTTCTAGTCTAAAAAGATAAAGTAGGCACAGGCTGTGGGAGTAATAATTTTATCAATATATTGTATATAACAAATAAAGACATCAAGAAATAAATCCAGATTTATGGAGAGAGCACCTTGAGGGACAGTCATGTCTCCTAATTTTTGTCCTCTAAGTTATAGGAATATAATTTTCTCTGCTGTTTCTCACATGTGCATAAGGTAGGAAACACAACTACTCCTGAATTTCACATCTTCTTTGAAAAAAACAATGCAAAGATGAGGTTTACTGCAAACATATGTCAGGCCCCTGATAAAGAAGAATGATTTAAAGTACAAGTTTGTAAATCACTGTCTGATTGTTCATGAAAATTGTCAAGTTGTGAATTTTTTTTAAGATGTGTTATTGAAACAGACAAGAAAGACAAATTGGAGGGGAGGGGCAGAAGAAAAAGAAGACAAGTACCACTCTGTGATTAAAATTGCTACAAAGAAGCAGGAATTATCCCCAGTTAGTAGGAAAGAGAATAATTTTATAAAACCAATGGGAAAGAGAAATCTAAAATGGAACAATGAATATTACTGGATAATAATGAATATTACTGGATAACCACCCTTTCCTTATTACACATACATCCTTTTTATGCATTTTTTAGTTCTAGGAAAATGAAAGCCCATTCCTAAAAATGCAGAAAAACCCCCTGTAGTATGAAAAAGCAAAAAAGCATCCTGTTGTACAACAGATTTGGTGCTAGAGGCTGAGATATCTTTTGATGAAAGATTATACCTGCTGTATAGAAAAAAATTACCAAAAAAAAAAACCCTTTATAACAGAAATGCCAGAATTCAGGCTTGGAGTCCTAGTTTTAGCTTGAACTCTATCTAACCCCAGTTTCTGTGACATAACTAAAGATTCTGTCAGACTGTTCAGGAAGTCTGAGTATTTCTCACATACTTACCTATGAAAATGACATTTTAGAAGTTTTCATCAAAACAGGAAGACAGAGTGATGCAACAGAAAAAGCACTGAAGGATTCACTTCTATTTTTTTTGTCTGCCACTGCTTTGTTGGATGACCTGGAACAAACAACTTCATCTTTCTGTGCTTAACTTCCACATCTGTAAAAAGAAGATAATGAGACTGAACTCCTCTGCAAATAAACTTTTTCCCTTCTCTTATCAGAGTTGAAACAACGATGGAAGGAAACTCTTGGTAGAGTTGTAATATAGTTCACTGGTAAAAAGCCAATTCAATTATGAGACTTCTTGGGTTTATGGGATTGTTTTCATTCTCAAACTTTGCAAAACAGTCCAAAGTGGAAAAGAAATCAGCCCAGGCTGACTGGGCTCCAGAGCCTGTGAAGTGATCTGAGCACAGTTGAGCAACACTGGACCAAATGTTTAGCAAATTACTTCCCTCCACAGATTCCAAGGAAAGTTTTATTTCAGTAAAAAGAAATTCTAGAAAATGTAGCATCTCACTCCCAGATCTTAAGAGTGAGAACTTCAGAACATGAAAAACAGATGGAATTTAGTCAGCAACACCTCAAAGATAAAACACAACTTCTTCAATTCTGGAGAGACTCTACAGAAGAACTTAAAAATGTTAAGAAGTGCAGAAAAATAACAGCCTGGGCTGAAAAATGAAGGACAAAAATTTAAAGAGAATTGAAGAGACCATGACAATATTACTCTGTATGCTCATTGCTGCAATTCCTTGCTAAGACAAAACTCTTTGGAAGATCCTTACATCTGTGAATTCTCCCAGGCACTGTATGCCACACAACTGGCTCCTTCCTCATATTCCTGCAGATTTTAGGGCAACATCACACATGCTCATTGTTCCAGCTTACTACTTGTTTCCTGCTTCATTACAATGGTTCATTGTAATGCTTCATTATAATGGGTTAATGTATTTAGCTGTTTGGAGATCTTATCTGTGTCTTGTGTATGGGAAAAGGGAGAAAACCTGTTTCTTGTAACACATTCGTTTTGCTTGTTATTAGTTTTGTCTGTTTATTGTAACATACTAGGTTTGCTCTCATCTCTGTCTGAGCAGGATATTTGAGAGGTACAATGCTCTCCTGACACCAGCAATGCTAGAAGGAATTCTTTATTCTTTATTGTTATTATTTATTGCACTATCAAAGCATTCTGTCAATAAAATGTGCAGGAGCACAGCTGGTGCCCAATGAAGTCTGAAAAATGCTTCATAGCTTGTTGTAGGACATCCAAAAAAGAAACTATTGAGCTTGCTGACTTGTTTTCTTCATCAACTTTCATCAGCCTAAGAGGACAGCCTTGGTGCTAAAAGTTTTGTATTTCCAACAAGAAAATGTAAATAATTTAAAGCTTGAGAGGCTGAGGATAAAACTCATTCAGCATTCCAAAACTCATTTAATTATCATCTAGCTTTTCTAGTTATCCTTCTTTTTGATTTCTTTGCCCTGAATCTTAGCCTAAATTCTTCTTAGGGAAGTTGTGCTACTCTAACAAGACCTAACTGGTCTTGATTCACAGATGACAGGGTGCAAAGCCTGTCATCAACCAAATTCATTCTGATTTCCCTTTGTGGGGAAAAAAAAAAAAATAATAAATCTCTTTCAGCTACAGGATTTAATGGCTTAAGAACTGGCCATTCTGGGTGTCAGCTGAAGTATCTGTAGTTGCCCCAGAATTCTTGGCCACTGGATATCTTCCAGTCTTAGGGAGTCATTAAGCTGTGTTCCAAGTGTCATTCCATATCCATGCACCATAATACAACACACTGTCACTAATTCTTCACACAAGCCTCATTACCAACAGATCTGAGTATTTCAGGATGGCTTTTCATACATAACCTCTTGGATTCTTCCCCTAAATCAATTCCCCTAAATCAACTTTCTGAATCAATTCACTGGTCTGACTAGCTAAGGAAAATTCAGGAAACAGCATTAAAAGCTAAGCATTATTCCCTCTGTACAGCCTGGAAAACCCTACAAGTTCTGACACCTACACTGAAGTGTCCCCATGCCGATGTCTTCATCTGCATGCAAATTCCTCCTACAGTCGATAGAGAACTACTCAATACAGTTGATGAAGCAAAGAGCTACTCAGCTGTTCAGAATACACTGATCTAGCTGCCTTGAGGTGGTCTGAACAGCTTGTTGTGCAACCATGAGCAGGGTTCAGCTTGCCAACCATCTGTGCTCAGTGACAACTGTGGTGGACTGAGATATCAACAACTTCCACATAAGATTTCAGATAGAACAGGCTGTTTTAGCATACCTGCTGCTTCTTGGAGCAGGAGGCCAGGTAGAAAACTCCTCAGTGCCTAAACTGGCACTCGATGCCTGCATTTATGTAACTAAATCCCACATTAATTCTCTGCTGAGTAAAAGGGGAGCTTAGACATCTGGTTCACATGGAGACACCTACACACCGAAAACCAAATTTAGGTGCCTTAATCTGCTGGCTGAATTCACCCTTTTACTTGGATATTTCCTCAGCTGGCAGCTGCATTAGCATTATGCTTAAGAGGCTTCAATGGACATTTTTCTCATTTCCATTTCTAATCCACTCATGAGAACATTTATACTTTTGGCCTCTCCAATACACTTGCAGCAATTTACAACTGTAACTCTAGAGAAAACATACTTTCTTTTGCTTATTTTAAATTTATTGCCTGGAAATTTCACTCAGGATATCTAAATCTTATGCTGTAAGAAACACATAATTCACTTTTTCTCTTACAATAGATTTTTTGACCACTATCATATTAACATCCCTTCACAGAATTCCTTCAAAATTAAACCATTCAAACATATTCAAATACATTTTTTAATTTTTTTTTTTTAAGGAGGCAATTCCACATCTCCAGTAAGTTCATTGCTTTTCTCTCTACCTTTCTTGGTGCTTTAGGGAGAATTCCACACAGTATTCAAGATGTGCAAACATTTTTGATTTTGCAAATATTTTCCATCTTGTTCTATTCTGGTCTTAGTATACTGAATATCCATTTTGCCTTTTCACCTGCTCCAAAGCACAGAATTGATGCCTTCAATAGATGAACCACAAGAGCTCCACAGATTCTTTCCTGAGTGCTCCTAATAAATTTAAGGGTATGTGGGATGATCTTATGCTATGGGCTTTTCCTCTGTGGTGGATAACAGTCTCTCCTATTCAGACATCTGTTTTTGCAAAGCTATTTAGAATATAATCCCTTTGAGATCTCCACCCACTGTCAAATTTGATACACATGGTCCAAGATTTCAGAAGTACTTGAGAAGAGACAGCAGAACAGATAAGCCCATATACATGTTCTGAGTTGTCATTTGACCTCATTTCCTTGGGAAAGCAGGCAAAAAAACCACGTCAAGTGGTCTTCAGCAAAAGTAACAATAGGAAGGAAGAGGTTTGAGAGCAACCAGACAAATGTCCTGCTTCCTCAAACACTCCAAATAGAACTCTCCAGCACCTACAAGGGCTTTTCTATGCCACTCAAAACCAGACTCACTTTGAAATTCTACTGGGGAATGTGCAGACTGATTTCAGTCATAGACAGCCCACAGGCAAACAATTGTAACAGGAAACCACTGAAACAAATGCTAGTCCCCCCAGTTATTGAAAGAATACTTGGAGTTTTCTCCAGTCTTCTCCATCACAGCTGGTCAACAAGCACTACACATCAGCTGGAGAAATTTGTTCTGAACAATCTGGATTTGGAAAAATAATACATATTAATTCTGTTTGGTTCAGGGGACATTTGGCTCCTTTTTCACAAAGTAGATGGATCAATGTAGGAAAAGAGACAGGATTTAAAGAATAGCTTTTGTAGCTGACTGTCCATTTCTCTTGTGTAATTTCTGTGTCCAAGACATGACAACAACAGAAATGAAATTTCAGTGCTTGAATACATATGGGACCCAAATTTTGACCCCAACCCACACTGACACAGGATTACTTTGGGTTACGGCTTCTTGCCCGGACTTTTATATGAGTTCTTGCCTCTTGCTGAGAGCACATAGGAAGTGGGTCAATTAGTTAACACTAAGGAGTTATCACAGATCTTATTAAGCAATTGGGCTAGACAGATTATCATTATCAGGAATTTTGAGAAATGAAATACGTCCCAAAGACCTTACAGTAAATGACACTAAAAAGTATAGATTTATTAATTCTCTTAATAAAATGATAATCCAAGCACCAGGGAAATTCTTATTGATAAGAATTACAAGGATTTACAAGGTGGGAAACAACTGGCCAAATTAGGACTTCCAGGCTAATGTTTCTGCAGAAAACAGATAGCATATATGCCGAGTTGCTTTTACCTAAAAGAGCTTAACACACACTTGCAGTCCTTGGGTTAAATTATTATGAGAGAGAGATCAAAGGTGCATGTTAGCCATTATGAAGCAGGAATTCTGAAAAACTGTTTGATGGGGGGCTGACTGTGTGGCTATCTCATTTAACTGCACCTTGCTTTCATCCTGATCTCTGCTACCCCCTTACCATCCAACTACTAACCCCTCCACAGGCTGTAACTCCCTTTTCTCTCACTGCAGCTTCTGATTATGGATTGCCTTTTTGCCCTCTGTACTCTAATGCTCCAGCTACAGCTCTTTGACAGGTTCTGGGTTCTGCTCTATTTTTGTTATTATAAAGCACCTTGCCATAATCTCTGGATACTGGGGGCAATATCCACCAAAGAATAGGGTTGGATGTGTCTCAACCCAGTTTAATTTCCACTTCAATAAAATAAAATTGCCATCTTCAAAGTGTCACTCAGGAGCTCAAATTTTGTAATCTGGATATTTATAAAATAAGCTTCCAGTCCCAACTATGCCGTGCAAATCTGAAAATGACTTTGTTCTTAAATCTCACCAGGGTTTACAAACCCAACATGCCTTCCAGTCTCACCCCTTCACCCTTTACCTGCCTGGAGAAACAACACCTATCAAATCGGTCCTGCACAAAGACAGATCTGTGGTGTGGTGGGTTTAGAAAGCCAGTGGTTTGACCCCTTACTCTGTAAATGAAAGATCTGAGGTTTCAGCACGACTCCCCACCTGTGAGGACATAAATCTTGTCGCTATGGAAGCACATTAACTGCCAATCTCAGGTTACTTCAGTGTAGTTGTGGTAGATTTTCCTCTGCTATGTCCCTCTTCCAGCTGAAGAAACCAGGCCCTCACATTCCACATGGCAACTCAAGCTGGAGGGTGAGGGATCCAAGGCTGGTCAGCCCAGGCATCCTCCATCAGCCTGACCTACACACCTTTTTTCCCCCTTCAAAGCCCCTGGATAAATACAGGGACTGAAGTATCTCTTTAATAAGAGGGAAGATTGCTCGAGCTGGTCCTTTTCAGTCTATGGACTGAGAAGGGATCTCATTAATACTTATAAATATCTCAAGAGGTGGGTGCCAAGAGGATGGTGCTGGACTCTTTTTGGTGGTCCCCAGCAACAGGATAAGGAGCAATGGCCATAAACTAACACACAAGAGGTTTATCTTCTAGATGAGTAAGACATTCTTTACATTGAGTGTGGCAGAGCACTGGAACAACTGCCCAGGAAGGTCACGGAGTCTCCCCTCTCTGGATCCAAATCCACCTGGACACATTTCTGTGTCACCAGCTCCATGTGAACCTGCCTTGGCAGAATCGGGCAGGATGGGATCTCCAGAGAGCCTTTCCGACCCAAACAATTATGTCCCAACTTCCAGGGGGCCATTTAGGGATGAAAAGCCCGAAACAAATACCTCGAGGGGCTGGAAAAGGCTCTGATCGTCACAAAGAGCTGCCAGACACCGTGTAAACCCAGTGGGATGAGACATACACAGCAAATCTAAGGGGAGGAAGGGAGTGAAAGCCGCACATCCAAAGCCCTGCACTCCTGATTCCCCTCACAGCTCGGAAAAAGGGATGCAGGCCACAGCCTCACAGCTCCTCGGCGATACCCCTCAAGTCTCGCCATGTTCTCCGGCTGCCCCAGCCCCGCCTGTCATGGCGGCGGAGGAGGAGGAGGAAGAGGAGGAGAATGGGGAGGAGAAGGAGGAGGAGGCAGCGGTCACATGGCGCCAGCGCCGCCACAGCGGGCGCGGGGCGGGCGAAGGGGTGATGCCACCGCCGCGGTGAGTGCGGGGCTGTGCGGGACACGGGCCGTGGTGGCGGCGTGAGGGGAGGCGGCTCCGGCAGGGGAACCGGCACCGGGGTGAGGGGCAGCCCGGGGGTGCGGGTCGGGGCCAGCGGCGGTATCGGGCTCTCTGTACACCGTGGTGCTCGGTCTCGATGATGTCCGAGGTCTTTTCTAACCTAGTTGATTGTGTGATTCTGTTTTCCCGCCTGCCCTGAGGCAGCGGTTCCTGATCCCCAGAGGCTGGTCCGGTGCGGGGCAGCCCCGGTTCGGGTCTCGGGTGAGGTGGCAGCGGGAGGCTGCCCCGGCCGGGTCCCTGCCTGACCCGGGCCCTTGCTGAGGGCTCCTGGTTTAACCTGACCCCGGGGGGAGACCGAGGAGCTGCAGCGGGGTGTGCTGCACAAGATGAGAAATAACACAACTGCTGTTTCTTATAGTCTTTAAATGCATGTGAAGGCGCAGCAGCAGCCAGCCTGCAGGTTGACTGAAACTCTGCAAATCTGACCCGAAATGTGAGGATCTGTACGTCTTGGTGTTGCTGGCGCTGCTCCGGTCATTGATTCGTTTGTAGGGCGAGGTCAGGCATTGCTTTTTGGAGCGCTCTGTGATCCCGTGAAGTATTAAAGCTTTCTTTTCTTTATGACTGGGAAATTTATTTTCAAACTGTTTCTTCCCCCTTCCCCCACCCTCACCTTCCGCTCCCCCCTTGTTCTTCAGTATATACTTATACGCAATACTGAGGCTTCTCTTTTCCTTTTAGCAAATGTGTGCTATTCTTCGTGGCTGGTCTCCAGCTTTTCTAGTCAGTTCATTATTGCCATGTGGTATTTTTCTTTTTTTGTGTGTGCGTTAAAGCTTATAAGGAAAGCTGCAGCAGAACAAGCTGAAGCAAATGGACTGTCACAAAGTTACTTGCAAGGCAGAAGAAAGGTTCTCTGGTCCCTTGCTTGCAAGAAAACAGACTGATCTGAGTAAGCCACCAAAAGCCCTGTGCTGCTGGCAGTGGGAGGCTTAGCAGGTCAGAATTCCCTGCTGTAATGTGGTACTGGAAGCAAACGTTGTGTTTAGAATCCACCTTTCCAGACAGCTGTTTCACCTTTGTTCACTTTGTCACAGGTGTCAGCCTTAAAACTGCTGTCGTAAGTAATTAGAACATTGATGCTCTCAATTATAGCATCTCTGTCAAGCTGTATCCTGCGTTGTTTTTAATATCAGTAGCAGGGCAGCTGCAGTAGACTCTACAGGACTTTAAAAGAATCAAAGTGCAGCCCCTACTTTTCTAAAGTAAAAAATAACATCTCATGACCTGGCTTTGTTGCTCTGCTGTAAACAATCAGTGTTTTCTCCATTTGATCTAGAGTATTTGGAGCATTGCTTTCTGTTTGAAGGAAGGCTGAAATTTCTCAGTGCCAGCACAGTAACTGCAGTTGGGCAGTGTTGTTAGCACTCTGCTAACATGCTTTGTTTTTCACTGGAAAATGTATTTTGACATAAGATCAAATCCCTTCTCTCGTAAGAAAGAGTAGTCTGGTAGTCTATAAGTTATATTAAGTATTCTTGCATGCTTTATGAGATAGGATTTGCTTTTTTTCTTTCCTATGGATGCCATCTTAATAGGAAACTATTCCTGGGTATCTCTGATTAGCTTAAGCTGATCCAAGTGCGGGCTGTGCCCAAGAAAGGATGGTACCAACCTCTTCCTGACAGTATGTTTCTGCCATGCTGCCTCATAGAGAACCTCTAAATATGTGAAATAGTCCAGCTGGGATTCCTAGGCCTCTTTTTAGAACAGCTTAAATGTCCAGGTGGTTCCAGATAAGAGGCTTTTGATTAACTAGCAATTGGCCTCCCCTGGTAGAACTGTCTCTGAAGAACTGCATGCATTCTGCATAAGCTTTTCCTCATCTCTGGGTAAGATAAGCTCCTGCAGAGTTTTAGGAGCTCTTCTGCAGCAGGGAAGGAAAGAAATAACAGTGCAGCTCTAATGAGCCTTCTTCTCCCAGCCTCAGATGAGGATGCCAGCAGGCGAAGTGGCATTTGTTCTGCTGGAAGAGAGTCTGACTGCAGATTTCAGGGCCTGTGGCCCAGCTTCTACTATCTAATCACATTCTCAGAGGATGCAAATCAATACTGCATTATGCACAGGCGTAGCTCTGGATAGAGTTTCTGAAAAGCTTCTGTGTAACCGTAGTTTATGAGAATGGGTGAGTCTGATCATTTTCATAGTGATGTAAAATAGCAGTGATTGAAGTGTGATTGAAGCACTTTAGGTGGCAGAAGTTCTGGAAACCGGGCAAGGGGAATAAAGATAAATTATTGTATTTTGAAAATTTATCTACAAAAAATAGGCTTCCTCACAATAAGTGATAGAAACCCCATGGTTTTAATGGTGGGTATAGGGTGTGTGTGTGGTGTGGGGGTCACACGGATGAGGTTAGTAGTAGTAAAAGGTGGTAAAAGTGGGGATTTTGGATCTTTCAGTGAGAAAAAACCAGGGTACTAGAAGGGGTGGAGGTGGGTGAAAAGAACAGAGGCAGGATGGTTCTTTTGTTACATTCCTGGGAGGTCCTGTAGAATGGTTGCAGTCTGAGCACCAGGCTAAGTTTGGCAGTGTGGCAGCTGTGTGTTGATAACTTGAAGCAGAGAAGTAAAGGGAGACTTCCACTGAAGGGAAAAAGTAAAACTTCCAAGATTACAATCATTCTTTTCTATAACTGTTGCTTGTCAATTTCCTAAAGTGTTTGGTCTGCCTGATAGGTGATAGTGCAGCTATCAAAAATTGCCCCAAAATCAAGCAATTTCTTTTGGTACCATTCATTTTGGAGAGATGCTGCTTGCTGTTGCACAATAAAAGTATGTTCTTGTATTTCAAGTGCAGAAATGAATTTACTTGTTCTTTCTCAAAAAGTATTACAGAAGTGAGATCTGTTTCAATCCCCGTTAGAGTGTGGGAGGCAGATAAACTGTCTTCTTATCTAAGGTTGCTTTTCAAAACATATGGTGGTTTATGGAGATAAAAGCATTTGCTGTTGCAGCTACTGTGTTAATGTGTAAAGTAGTGTCAGTGGTAAGGTTTTGGATGTTCAAGCAGGGTTTTGCAGCATGGGTAAAAGCATTTGTTCAGCTGTTTTTGTGTAAGAGTCAATAGTATGCACCACAACCTTCAGCCATGTTCTAGCATGTTTCTCATGTGAGTCACCATTGTGTAAGAATCAGTGTAAATGTTCTGTTTGAAAACTCTGTAAAAGCTAGAAATACATTGCAGCAAAAAAAGGTGGAAAATTAGGAAACTGATTGGACTGTTTAATTCAAAAATTGACTTCAAGTATACTAAATTTTTGATATTTTGTTATAGGAACTTCTGAGCTCATTCCCTGAGATGTGAAAACATGCTAAATTAAACTGATGATGCTACTGAAATGCAGAGTATGGATTAAAGTGCCTGTTTATGTGTTGTATGTGTTGTATCTTACCCCTTTCTTATGCAGTCTGGCTTAGCAGCCTGATCCTTTGCATGTTTGAAACTGGAACACAGTGCCTAGGGGTGAATCAGCTTTTCCACTGCTGACGCGGATTAGAGACCCCTGAGGTAGAATTTGGTTCTGCCTGCTCTGCCTGCTTTAGAGGGTGAGTAAGAAGAAGTTGTGCAGGGCAGGGAGGAGTCCAGAGCTGCTACCCCATAGTGCTCACAAGTCTTTGATGAGCAAAATTCAGTTGTGAGCAGGCGATCTCTTGTGGTTTTCTGTCTCGTGGCAGTAGTAGCATTGCAAGTTCTGCATTTCTGAGACTGAAGTTGGCTTTGACTGACAAGTTCTACCTTACCAGCTCTGCTACAGAGACTGTTCACATTTGTGCTCCAGCCTTTCCTGCCATGGAGCAGGACAAAAGTAACTCCTCTTGCTGCTCAAGAGGGAAGGAATATATACATGAATGGCTTTTTGGGGGGTAACTGCCTACCTGCAATAACTTTTTTTTATTCCCAAGACTTCAACTACGAGGACATTGCACCATTTTAAAGTCAGATTTTAAATTGACAGGCTAAGCTAATAAACTTGCAGAGGCATGCTGAAAGGAAGGTACCTCAGTGAAGGGTTGCTATGTGCCAGACTGATTTAAGCAAATACTTAATGAATGTTAGAGGCATGTTCATGGAGGTCTTTTTAGTTTGTGTAAAACCGTCCAAATGCTGCTTGGCTAAATGACACAGATTTTCTTGTGCAGACAAGGATTAAATTGGATGCTTTAAACCTTGGAGGTGGCCTTAATTAAAACACAGATACTTTTCCAGGAAGCACAAACTATCCTGGTTTGATTCAAAACCCCTTATGAATTAATCTTTGTAGGTATTTTGACTATTTTGCCAGTTCCTCAAGCATAACATCAAGAACAAAGGATGCCACTGTCTCTTTGACACTTCCCATATTTTTTATTGAATATGTGTTCTAGAAGCATTTCTTTTAGTTTTTCATTTTCCTGGAATACCTTAATTTCGTCAGTTAGCATGAATCTCTTATCTCTGGTGTCAGCAGATGTCAAGACTCATCACCTATGAACCAAGAGATGGCCAAGTTCTGGATTGCACATTAACCTTCTGTGCAAGCAGAGTGTTCAGAGGTATGGCTCCTACTGAAGTGGGAAAATGTATTTTTGATCTGCTATTCATATTGTTGCAACATCCATGATTTCAACATCAAAATCCTGAGTATGTTTTCCCGTTAGAAACATTGGCAATAGATAAGTAGAAGAAAAGTGACCAAGAGGGGATGGAAAAGGAGTGGTCCACGACTCTTTCCTCAAAGGGATTTCTTATGACAAGGAAAGACCACAGAGAAGGACTGAAACAATAAGAAAATTAATTTTTGGCA